TCTTCTTTTATAGCTTAATTTTAATTTTCTTTACGTGGCTTTAAAGTTATCATAAAAACACATTTAATTTAAATAATTGGGGTGAGAAACAAGCCGGGCCAAGCGTACTTTTGAGGCCCGGCTCGCGCTTGAAACTCATGATTTAGGTCGGCCACTTTTATTGAAAAGTAAGTTTAACCAAAAAAATTTTTGTTGGTTATTATTAATTTTTTTTGATTGTTTTTGGCACCACAATCAATAAAAAAACAATCAAGTTTTTTTAATTTTTTTAATTTTTTAAATTTTTAATTTTTTTAAAAAAGGCAAAGCCAGGCCGTACTTAAAAACTGTTTCACTGGATCAATTCCTTCGGCACGTTTTAAAAAAATTTTAAATTTTGAAATTTAAAAAAATAAGAAAATGTTAGCCTTGAACAAGATTCAAAATACAAAATAAACATTTTTAGTCTTTTTCGATCCGGGTATAATTTTCAAGCCAGACCTGCAAGTCAAGCCCAACTTTTAAGAACGGCCCATTACGACTTTAGACCAAAGACGGCTTGGCCCAATGGTAGAGCCGACTTATAATAACTTGTTAAAATTAATTAACTGTGTACAAAACAAAAATCTTTTTTTGACAAAGTACGATCTATTGGCTGTAAAAACTGTTTTACTGTAAAATCGCTTCGGGAGAATTTAACTTCAAAAAGAAATGAGTCATAGAGCTGATATTATACAATGGAAATGAGGCAAAATTTGTACAAAAAAAGCAAAATGAATTGGATTCTTTTCACTAATGTCTTCAGAGTAATATTACTTGTTTAGATATCTATTTTAGTTACTTTAACAGTACTTTTTCAATACCAACATTTAGTATTATACTTTAAAAACGATTCTAATAGAAGGCACCGTATGGTTGTACGTATGGTATTAGAAAAACGTATGATAGTGCCTATATACATATGGTAGTATAAACAATGAATAGTAAAAATCTAATAGTCTTATATGCTTCAATTGCTATTGTTTATGCTAGGAATCCTTGTTTAGAAGTAGAACAATATGTAAAAGTATCGTATAACGCTGTTGTAGATCAGAATGAAAGAGATGAACTTTTTCAAGCAGCTGCTGATAAACTTGATAAATCTGCAAAACTGTGTGTAAGTTCTTGAAAAATATGGTTGTTAAAGTAATTCTGCGTCTTGTAATTTCGCAAATGTTCTTTGAGAAGAAGCACAGAAACATTTGAACAACCTACCTATTAGCTTTATCCAGTAAATTGATGTTATATAAGATACATTTTAACTACCTAAGCATAGATTTTTTTTAGAATTCATACTTAAATTGATGAATTTATTTATTGTAGAAACCAGACCAATCGCTAAATTGTGCCGAATGTTTCAAGTTTATGGCTAAAAGTGTAAAAGCTAATATAGGCCAAGTTGATTACGTTTCAATGCGATGTGAAAAACTGTGTAACTATTAACAGATTAATTAACGTTTTAGTATAAAATAATATAAAAAATTAAGAATACCATTAGTTATAAAAGTCAATCATGTTGTAGTAGGGACTGCCCATCAGCTGGCCTACAAAAAGAAGTTGATCAGTTAGTAATTTAGATTATTATTATGAGATGAAAGACCCTTATAAAATAAATAGTATGAATCGAAGAGTTCAAAGCTGATGATTGAGAGAGTCCTAGTACTCATAAATATTTAGTTCGTTGTAGACAAAAAAGTAAGAAAGAATGGGCAGGTTTAGTGTGTTGGCTTTTACCTGAAGAACAACACACTAAACCTGGCTTCGATCAGGTATTGTTCTGGCCTCAAGTAGACCGTGTCAAGCAATTACATTTGGGTTGAAGGCTAAGGCCCAAACCAAAGCACCAAGGACCCAGCTTACAAGGGAGGTAACTTTAATCGCCCTTCGACTTTGGGACGAAACCTATATATTCTGAAAGCCCTGTAATCACTGATTATGGATCTGAAAACCGTTTTTCCGTATGGAGCTTAGTTTTCGAGAAAATCGACTTTAAATTTTGACTGAATCCCCAAAAAGAGTAAAGCGCGCCGAAAAGTCTATCGGAGATAACGTAAGGAAATCAAGTGGCGGCGTGGCGTAGAGCGTTCGGTTTCCGATTCAAACCATCTAGGTTCGATTCCGGAGCCTCTAAAACTTTTTTTAACAACTTTACTTTACTTTATTTACTTATTTGCTTTTTAATATGCAAATTTTTGTAATTTTTGTAATATCATTGTTAGATGGAGCTGCATAACCTTGAGCAAATAACGACATATATTTTTCGTCTATCTTCGTCGGTCACATCTTCGTACGTTGGATCCGCCGTCTTATCCGTAACCTCAATCTAGTCCTCCTCTGGTTCATCAAGTCGAAATTAACATCTACTGCGGATGGCAACATTGTCTTCACAATTCGGTCATGGTAAGCAGCATTGATGCTGTCGCCTTGTCCGAATTGTACATCAAAAACCCCACAACAAGTGCGGGGGAGACACCCAAATCACAATGAACAAAAACATGAGTTTTGCTTATTTTGCATAATGTTTATTTTTAAAACTTTACAAAAATTACATAAATTTTGCATATTAAAAGTTTTGTTAAAAAACGATTTAGAGGCTCCAAAATCGAACCCACGTGGTTTGAATTGGAAACCAAACACTTTACCCTCTGGGCCACGCCGCCACTTGGTTTCTCTTTGTTATTTCTGATAGACTCTCGCGCGCTTTCCTTTGGGGATTCGGTCAAAATTTAAAGTCGATTTTCTCGAAAACTAAGCCCCATACGGAAAAACAGTTTTCAGATCCATACTCAGTGATTACAGGGCTTTCAGAATATTTAAGTTTTGTTTCAAAGTCGAGGGGCGATTTAAGTTACCTCCCTTGTTAGGTCCCGCAACAAAATCTTGTGAAGTGAGCAAAAGAAGAGAGGATAGGATGTTGTAAAAACCGAATGGTCAATTTTCTTTTTGGAATTAACATGATGAAAGGTTTTTTATTTTTTAATTTTAATTTTATTTGTAAATAAGCAAATAAGTTTTTTTCTGTATACTACAACATAAATACACAATTTATTTTTCAAAATTTCTCAGACCCATAAACGTTTTTATTGTTAAAAACTTTGCTTTTATTACTGTATTTTTCAAAAACCACACATTAAATCTAAATTTTTAATTTTTTCAATAAATTATTTAAACTTTTTAAAAATTAAAGACCTTTTAAAAAACCTATAAAAGTCTATCCCAACATCCCTGTCTTACCAGCTTTATTCGCTACTACATACCTTTTGCCATGAACACAAAAGTTTTGCTGATTTTGTGTGTCGTCGTTACTTTTGTGTGTTCTCTGCCTAAAGGTCCTGTTCACGACCTTTGTGTAGAGGCCGAAGACATAGTACAAAAATTATATGAGAAAGATCAAAAGGAAAGAGATGATACTTTAAACAGGGCTATTCAGATATTTGAAGTAATTGTCAAAGAATGCGTAAGTTAGTATTATTAATTAGTTAGGTTTGTGGTCAGGGCCGGGCGTTAAGGGGGGGGAGGGAGGGGGGGGAAGAAGAGGGGGGGGAGGGGGATCCCACCCAACCCCCACAAAAAAAATTATCGAAAAAAGTTGAAGGTGGTCCTGTAGATTTTTTGAAAAAAATTTTTTTGACCCCCACTTTCAGACCAAAATCACTCGCTCGGTCCTGCTTATGGTGGTAGTACTTTATCAGTTTAGCATCTACTCGAATCCTTTCCCTTCCTAGAGCAAGCTCAAAATGTTATAGTAAAAAACTAATTTATAATTTGCAAGGATAGAGCCAAAGAACTTTGATAAGCTATATGAAGCCTACTGTAATTAAAAATTATTTTTTTTTACAAAATTTACAGTTTGATTTCAGAAAAACGAAAAATGTAAGAAATGCTTTGGTACATTACTGAAAGGCTATAAAGCCAACCTTGGCCAAACTGCTTATGTGCCATTGAAATGTGAAAACGCTTGCATTGATTAATAATAAATAAATAAATAAAAATTGCAATTTTTTAAAGTTGAGGTTTAAAAAATAAGGCGTCGTAATTTTTAAGTTCTACTATTTATTACTATGATACAGCTCGGTATTACTTAAGCAAAACCATAATAAAATTTAAAATATTTTTAAAAATAAGACTTGATAATGTTTGGGCACATAATTATTTAAATAACTTAATATTTTTAAAAATTAAAAAATGTGCTTACTTCTTCAAATGTCACCACAATTGTCATAAGCGATGAATATAACAAAAACAAGCTTTATATTATATTATGTTGGGGTGTTGATTATTACACTTATCATTTAGTGATAATGTAATGGTATTAACCCCTATGATCATATGAGCTTCTTTTATGTAATTTTGAAGGAACAAACCAAACTTATTGCTCTACACATTTTTGAGATTATTTTACTGTACTACAACATAAGTAACCCGAACCGGCAATTTCAAGCACTAATTTCAAGCTCTTACACCCCTCGACTACCCAAACACATTCGCTCTCTCTTCTCATTTCCTAATCAAAGCGAGGCGAGACCGTGTTTGCGTAGCCGAGTGGCGAAGAGGTTTGCTTTTGACGCCGAAACCCGCGAGTTCGGGGCTTACTTACCCTTTCAAGGCTCATTTCAATGGTCTTGAGAAAAATTAAAGCCCCAAAGTACCACCAGGACTATAAGCTGTATGTAAGTATATGTACATGTAGTTCTCAACGCTTGGGACATTTCGTTTTTTTTAACATTGGCACTTTTTTTAAAGAAATTTTGAATTTTATAGATGGAAAAAAGACTTGTCGCTTCTAAACCAAGCTTTTCACAATGAAATACGACAAATTTTTTTTTGAAAATTTTAAGGCTAGCTAGAGCTAGAATGGAATGCAAAACCTTTATAAAATAAATAACTTAAAATATGAAAAACAATCGATAATAGAACCGTGAAAACAATGATATTTGAGGTACCGGCAATCGAGTTTTGGTTGGACGGAGATACGATGGTCGTTACCGACTGGCTAGCCGTTTCCATTCCGCGATTACATCTTCTGGGTCTTTGTTCTGAAAGGGTTGAATTTAAATTTTAAAACAAAAAAGGTCAAAAAGTGGTCGCTCACTCAAGGCTATTTTTTTGAAAATAACAAGGAAAGTGCCCGACCTGCCCCGCTCTGATTGACTTCAAGTTTTTTATATAGAAAGATAATGTAAATATGATACCTTCAGCAACGTACTATTATCCCGCTTTCCAGAAAATCTCGAAAAAATAGAGATCAAAAATTTACGTTTTGAATTTCCCGCCAAATTGGCATTGCGTTTTAAGCTTGTAACTGTCACTTTTTGATTTTCAATTATTTTTCTTTGATATACTAGTAGGAAACCTTTAAATAAACCTACATTTTTAAATTTATAAGGGTAGTTTGGCTGAAAAGTAGAAAAAAATGCTTGAAACACAATGCCAGATTAGCCAAATTGGCCGAAAACTCAATTTTTTAAATTTAAAACTCAAAAACTCAAGCTAAAACTTGTTTTGCGTACTATTGGTGGTACAAAAAATTCAAAAAAAAAAATTATGGGCCAATTCTGAGTGGGGCAGGTTGAGTATTACTTTCCTTGTAAGTCTTATCAAGACATTACCGAAAATGGCCATCATTGAGTGCAATTACGACTTTGAAATTTGTTTTATGAAAGACCTAAAGAACCTACATAAACATCATCAACGCCATTTTTAGTGACAGCCGTTCCATCTGGTTTTACGACGATTAAGGTGGGTAGACTGTCAATGTGATACTTTTTGAGGTAGTTGAAGCCTTGTTGTTCTTTTACAAACGTCAAACAGCAGCATCTGAAAGTCTCCAAGACTATAAAAAACACTTTTCATCGTATAAAATGCTTATCAAAATCATAAAAAACACTTTTCATCGTATAAAATGTCCCCCAAAATCTAAAAAAACGTTCCATCGTATAAAATGTCATCCAAAAATCTATAAACATCTTTCCTCGTATAAAAAGACTCACTTGCATCCAGGTTGCTGGAACGGAGCCCTCAGCCAGTTACCGTGCTCTTTGAAGTACTCTTCCATTGATTCCATCGTTTCATCTCTCGAAAACCACACGATCTCCACGCCTTGTAGCGCCGCCTTCACGTAGAAATCACGCAGAATTGGATTGAATCGTCGACAAGGCTCACACCAAAAGGCAGAGAAATAGAAGGCCACAACTTTGCCTCTTAAGACTTCTGAATCCACTAGTTTACCAGATTTTGTAGTTAGGTCAACGTTTCGCAGTAGGTCCATCTGAAGGTTGATCATGGTAAGTGATACTAATTTTAATAAGAAATCGACTCGGTTGTTCAAATAATTCTGTGCTCCTCAAATTTTTGGTGTAAGACGCACAGAATTATGTGAACAACATAATATCATTCACGGTACTATACTAAATATAACCAACACTAAGACAAAAGCTAGGACTAGGGGCTAGGGCTCTAGTCTAAGATTCTGATCTAGGGCTTTGGGCTAAGGTTTGCGCCTACCGTTAAGACTAGGGCTAAGCACTAAGGGTAATAAAACAAAAAAAAGCTACAAAAGCCCAAGGCTAGGACTATCTGACTAGGGTTCTAGGCTAGAGCTGTAGGCTGGAGCTACCGAGCTAGGACTGTCAAGCTAGGGCTCTGGGCTAGAACTCTGGGCTAGGGCTTTAAGTTAGGGCTCTGGGCTAGGGCTCTGGGCTGGGGCTCTGGGCTAGGGCTCTGGCCTAGGGCTCTGGACTAGGGCTCTGGGCTAGGGCCTTGGGCTAGGGCCTTAGGCTAGGGCCTTGGGCTAGGGCCTTGGGCTAGGGCCTTGGGCTAGGGCCTTGGGCTAGGGCCTTGGGCTAGGGCCTTGGGCTAGGGCTCTAGGCTAGGGCTCTGGGCTAGGGCTCTGGGCTAGGGCTCTGAGTTAGGGCTCTGGACTAAGGCTCTGGGTTAGGGCTCCGGACTAAAGATCGGGTTTAGGGCTCAGGGCTAGGACTCTGGGCTAGAGCTCTGAGCCAAAGGTCTAGGCTAGGGTTGTGGGCTAGGTCTAAAACTAGGACTTTGGGATAGCAATACCAAAATTAAATAAGCATCACATGTTTGTACCACGAGTACAATGCACTTAAAAATCGTCGTAATAATGAAAATACACGGAATTAATGTAAATTCGTTAAGAAACAAAATTAGACCAAAACCCTGAGGGCATTCGAAACAAAAGACGGGTGCAATTTCAATTTCCTTTTTAAGCCAATCAACTTTTTTTAAAAGTGTCAAGAGTTTCGTCACAGGGTAATTGGCCAGGCCTAGTATTGTTCTAAAAAAAAATTTTTTTTTAAATTTTTTAGCCTCCTCCCCCCCCCCTCCCACTTTTTTATTCTACTTTACCCCCCCCTCCACAAAAAATTGAAGTTTACCTCCCCCCCCCCTCTCACTCCTCCTCAAAATATTTTCTTTGATCTGCCTCTTCCCCTGACTCCCCCTTTTCTTTTCCCATGCCCAACAAAAAATCAAATTTACCCCGCCCAGCCCTCCCCAACACTAAAAAGTTTTGAAAATTCAAAAAATGTAAACAAAATCCTATTTTTAAATTCGAAAAAAAATTCCGAGAAGCCATCAGTATTTGGTATAAAAACGTAAGAACGTGCCCTTGGGGGATTTGGAAACAAAATGTCAAAAACTGTGTTTCAAAATTCAATTTATTTCTTATTTATGATTCCAGCGGACGGAACCATAAATACTACAGTGACAGCTATCTCGTGCACTTTTACATTTAAAGTTTTGTTTTTTTAATCGACACAGGCCCTAAGGCTCGGTTTAAGAATAGAACTGAGGCTAGGGCGTGTGCACCATGTTTAAAGTTAAAAGTACAAACTTAAAAAAAGATTAAACTGAAAAAATTTCAGCATATTTTTGCAAAAGTAAATTGCAAACATAATACAGTATTGTACGTATGTCATCAACTTTCTCAAAATATGTAATATGCCGACCAGAAAAAATATTTTTACAAATGAACTATAACATTGTAGTAAAGTAAACAAAAGTGCAAAAAAAGCTAAGGCTAAAAGCAATTCAAAACAAAAATTAAAGCTTAAAGTAACATAATATTTTTGAAAAGTTTAAACTTTGAAGTAACAGTGTGTATAAAGTGGCTCTGCCCACTGTCTAGATCGCGAAGCGATTAGGCTTCACGTTCAGTTTTGGAACATGACAACCTGGCAATAGGTCGTCCCAATTCTGAGCCAAAAGACGACTTGGCAATAGGTCGTCTCTACATCCCAATCCATCTAACAAGACAACCTGGCAATAGACTGTCCTATATTATCAATGTCTTATCTTACCTATATGCATGTTATATGTAAGATAAATAAATAGTTTAGGCCTTATAATTTAGAAAGATATTAACGTAATTTATAAGATTACAATTGAAACGAAAGACCGGCTAATATTCCACCAAGGCCAAGTGAAAGAAGATAACTTTCAGTATGATGAAGAAAGAAAGAAAATTATAAGAGAAGAAGATACAATGTAAGATATATAATGACAAAGAGAAATAGACATACCCATAAAACGGTAGCTATACTATAAACGTATCGTATCCCTAATCTATCCCACCTCTACTAGATCTTTGTCTTACTCTTAGCTTTGCCCTGCTCTAAAGATAATGTAGCTCCTACCTTGGCCATATTATAGTTTTACCCATGCTCTACCTCATCCTTAGGCTCAGGCTCAGGTTTAGGCTCGGGCACAGGCTCATTCTCAGACTCAGGCCTAGATTAAGACTAAATTTAGGAATTTGCCTTTCCTTTATTTTGGCCCAGCTTCTAGCCTCAACATATAACATATATCTATGCATTTCAAAAACCTCCTATATTTACCCATAAACATACTACAAAGCGGCGAATGTGTACAAGACCGTTGAGTAGTATAACGGGGTTTAAAACCCATATGAAGATGTTTACCAAAACATATAATCTATGAGGTACAAACACAAAAGTGCAAACCCAAACGGAAAACAAGGAGAAATATGACATATCTGCAAGAAAATGACTACAAAGACATTTGCAGAGGAACGACGTCACTCATCGTTCCGTTTTCTGTTTTCGGCACTTGACCGGCTATTTTTGTCTATTTTCGACCCAAACAAACAGAAAAAATTGGGTTTGGAAAGAATTTTACCCAAATTTGGATGGCTGGTTCTTTGGTTTATAAGTATATTATAGTATATATATATGCTAAAACTATAATTGTAAGACCTAGCTTATTGAGTAAAAAAGTAGAAAGACAATGTTACACTGAGCTAAATCTAAAGCTAATGATGACTTTAATAAAGATAAGCTGAAGCTAGAGTACATACGGCTAATACAGCAATATAGTAAGACTAATGCCGGCTATTGAAAATTCTAGCTCAAACCAATGCCAAATAATGACAAAGTTAGACTAGAGAGGGTGTTTTGACTAAGATAAGTAGGCTAACATTAAGGTCAAGGCTTAGGCTCAGGGTCAGGCTCAGGCTCAACCTTAGGCTCAGGCTCAGGCTCAAGCTCAGGCTCAGGCTCAGTTTTAGACACAGACTCATAACCATCCTCAGTCTCACTCTCAAGCTCAAGCTTAGGGTCAAGCTTAGGTTTAAGCTCAAACCCAAGCTTAACGTCAGCCTCAGGTTCAGACTAAGACAAAAGATTGATCTGAAGCTAGGGCAAAGTCAAAGGCAAAACAATAAAAATTTTTAACACTTAAAAAAACTAAAAATCTAAAAAGCTTAAAGAACTGCTATTCCATACACAAAAAAAATTTTTATCATCCAATTAATAATATTTTTTTTAATTTAAAGCCAAAAAGTCAAAAACTTTAATCATAATTTTTTTAAAAATCAAACTTAAAAAAACTTTTGAAATGCCAACCAAAATTTTTGAAAATATTATTTAAACAAGACTGTTGAAAACACGTGGCAGCTTTCGCTTAAAGCCCCCAATGTCTTAAGGAACAAAAAGCCTACAATTCCGGGAGAGATGAGGAAACAACGGGTATTGGGAAAACAACCCAAAAACACGTTTTTTTGGCCGCCGAGCAATGTGACTGAGAAACAAGTTTGGCCGAATAAATAAATAAAGATCTGGGTCAAGGGAAACCCATAAAACGGCAGAAGAGATCTTAAAACTTGAGCTGAGGCACGTCACAACAATAAAACAAGCTTTATAGGTATAGGAGAAGCCATGTGGAAACTGTAAGGTCATAATCTTTGATGCTACAGTATCCATTTTAGTCAGAACTCACTATATTGACTTTTCAAAACCCTACCCTACCCTACCCTACCCTACCCTACCCTACCCTACCCTACCCTACCCTACCCTACCCTACCCTACCCTACCCTACCCTACCCTAACCTACCCTACCCTACCCTACCCTACCCTTCCCTACCCTACCCTACCCAACCCTTCCCTACCCTACCCAACCCTTCCCTACCCTACCCTACCCTACCCTACCCTACCCTACCCTACCCTACCCTTCCCTACCCTACCCTACCCTACCCAACCCTTCCCTACCCTACCCAACCCTTCCCTACCCTACCCAACCCTTCCCTACCCTACCCTACCCTACAATCCTATTCCGTCTACAGTGTTCTATCATATGTTTTCCTTACAGTATGTTATCCTACTCTACTTTGCCCTACTATACAAATTAGAACTTGCCCTACACTCTGTCTTAACCTACTATACTTGATCATGCGTCTTACCCTTATTTATGCCTGCATTCTCAGAAACCTTTTCAGTAAAAAATATCCTTCAGCTCCTAGTTACCCTAGCCTTACATTTTTTTTTTCTATTTTTACCACACCTTCCTTTTTCTCACAGTCTTTCTACCATAATATCTATACAGTAAAACCTCTTCAGTATGACACACACATGTTCTAAATCTATCTTTGTAACCAGCTGGGCACACTATCTTGGTACTTTTTTATACAAGTTCTATTACAAAAAGCGGGCAAAAAGATGACATTAGAAGAAGAGTGTCACACTAAAGTGAGTATTACTAAAGAGATTTTACTCTATATAACAATTTATATTTAAAATGGTATTGTAATATATCATACCTAAACATCCATTTAAAATTAGTAAACAGACGTTTTTAAAAATTTAACAAGCCTATTAAAATGTTAAACACTTAAAGTTTTTTCTTAACAAACCCAATCAAAGCCCTTTTAATTGATATCGTAACAATTAGCCCAAACACCTCGAGAACACACCGCATTCAAGTGCCATTTTGCCTGAGGGTCTTTAATCCGAAAGTGATCAATTACCG